TTTTATGGGAAATTTCCTGTCTCTAAAACATTGACACAATTTTTATTATTATTATGTAGGCCAAATAAATATTCTCAGCCAGAATTGGCCCAAACAACTAACAGGTGACCTCTGGTTTATGACTTCTTACATCATGCCTAAGATCAGTATTGGTCCTAGAGATGGGTAGGATTGAGCCTCTAGGTTGGGGACAAGTAGACCAGAAGAGTGCTGTTCAGTGAAGATAGAATGGGAGCCAGAAATGTGAGCCAGGTATGGAATTTTGAATTCTCTAACAGTCATATTAAAAATAAGTAAAACGAAATATGTAAAAATAATTTTAACGGTGTATCTCATTTAACCCAACATATTATTACTTTAATATTTAATATAAATTTATTAGCAAGATAATTTGCATTTTTCTATGATAAGTCTTCAAAATCAGGATCTATTTCATATTCACAGTACATCTTAAATTGGGGTTAGCCACATCTCAAGTGCTCAGTAGCCATATGTGGGTAGTAGCTACCCTACTGGAGAGTATAGATCTGGAGAATGCATCTCAAAATTTGAAATTGCTATGGGTTGAATTTGTCTTTTCCAAAATGCATTTTGAAACTTAATCCTCATATAGGTGTATTGAGAGTTGAGATCTTTGGGAAGGGATTAAGTCATGCTTCTACTGCCTTAATAAATGGTTTAGGCCCTTCCAAACGGCTGGAGGAAACTAGTTTAAATTCTTTCTGGCGCCATCTTAGAAGCAGGGAGCAGCCCTTACCAGACACCAATCCTGCTGGTGCCTTGATTTGGAACTTTCTAGCCTCCAAAAACATGAGAAATAAATTTCTATTGTTTATAAGTTGCCTAGTTTGTGGTATTTTGTTATAGCAGCACAAATAGATTAAGAGAAATATACACATGAATATTTTGAGGACCATATTAAAATGCCAATTCTGAGTCAGTGGTAGGCATAGAGTCTGAGATGTTTCCCTTATTCTGAGCTCCCAAGTGATGTCAGTGCTATGGGTTCAGGGACCACACACTGCATGGCAAGAAGCTAAGGGGCTGTGACAAGTCTCCTTCAGTTGGTGTGCTTTTTCACCCAAAGAATTTCACCCTCTTTCAAATTCAGTAAAGACCTTCTGAAGAGACTACACTGATATTCTAATGATGCAACACCATATTTGAATTAGAAAAAGCATTAATAACTTCAGATATAGGCAATAATTTTACACCATTTGCAGAAGTACTGTGTTCATTTACTGCTTTTTTTTTTTCCTTTTTAGACTTGAGAACCTGCCAATGTGTTACCAGAATGCTTTCATAAGAATGCACTTAAGCACAGGATAAGTGCTTATAATTCTAACTTCATGGGTTTGGAACGTTAAACATTTTAATAAAACAGACAATGGGACTGCAAGGGAAATTTGACAATAATACCTTTCAAAGCTTTAGTATTTAAGGTCATTCTCTGGTCAAGGGTATGAATATTTCATGGAATCTCTAAAGAGAAACACAAAGAAAGACCTTTCATTTCCCTTCTGATCATCCTATCTGAGGGATGGGTAGATCTTTGTTCAACAAACACATAAACATGGAAGCATAAGCAACCGTACATGGGGCAGAATATATAGGATTCTGCAGTGTTGTACAGTTGTCTTTGGGAAATAAAAGCTGAAACCCAAAATAGTGTTCTGGAGGTGAGCTGGGAATTAGAATGCCTAAAAAGTTGTCCTCTCTCCTCACTGCTTCTCTTGTGAACTTTAGCAAGTGGTTTACTCTTTACCTCCTCCTTTCTCAAATGGTGACAATGCATGCTGTACCTATATCAGGACATTGTTGTAGAAAAGTGCAAAGGAACTTGGTTAACTGCAACATGTTATCCACTTAGACATTGTTCCCATCTATGTTGAGAAGAAAGTATTGAACCCTAAAGACTGTCAAGATGAAAGCTGAACTGACAGGATAATCAGTTTCTCAGGGCTCTTCCCACCACTGCATTTCATAATAGTAGCAGCCGTCTATTGACGGTTATGTTTTCCACAGTAAAAAATGAAAGATGGGATTCTAATCAAAGAAATAATGTCACTTTCTCTGCAGAATAAAATAGCATGCCAAAAGTTAAGTAAACCGAAAAAGAATTTATGAAATCTTTAATATTAACATTTTTGCTTTAGTTCAGAATACAGGTAAGTACAGAACTACATATACCAAAGGAATTTATTCACCTAGTAGCAATTGCCTAACTACCATATACTATATTATTTTGGGGTAGGTTAAAGATATAAAATCAATAGCAAAACTATAACACTCAATGAGACAATATCTTTATGACCTCCAGAAAGGTAGAAATTCATTAAACAAAACACAAAAGTACAAACAGTAGAGAAAAAGATTAAGATACTTTAACATGACTACAAAAAATTCTGATTTTGACCATAAAAATCAATGTAAAGAAAATGAAAGAAGAATTATATATGTGGAAATGAAGTTTTTCAATAAATATAAGAGGCAAAGGATTAATCAATATCCAAAAAGTCTGAAAAAGAATTCTTCAGTTTATAAGGAAGAATCACTCAATTGAAAAAAAAGAAAAATGTCTTAATAGGTACTTCACAGAAAGAATATCTGAACAGCCAACAAAAGATGCCCAACCTGATGAGTAACCAGTAAGTAAAATTTAAAACCACAATGAAAGATCATTTTTAACTCATCACAGTGAAGAAACAAACATTTGTTAATATCTTGTGCTGGTGAGGATGAAGGTCAAGTGATCACTTGTTTAGTACTTCTCCTGGGTACAAATGTAACTGCTTGGAAAAACAATTTGGCATAATCTGTATACTCTTTTGTGCTTCTGGTTTTGCATTTTTCATAAATTAAGGAAAATAGTCAAATATTTTATATTTCTTCATGAATTATATTTCAAAGTAACCAAGTAAGTGATGAGGAAAAGTTATTCTCTATGGAAGAATTCTAGCTAAAAAATGTAGGAGAAATGATAGGATTAGAAAATCACCATTATGCAGCCCTTAGAAAAAAATATTTAAGTCTGAATATAAGATGATGCTAAATCATACTGTAAAACTTAATGAGGAAACTTATCCTGAAGTGATCAGACTGACGCCACCCAATCCCACTGTTGAGGCTCAGGAGATCTAAAATCGTGACCACGAAAAGTAGAGAGCATCACATTTTAAAATTTCTTCTGGTTGAGTGCAGTGGCTCAAACCTGTAATCCCAGCACTTTGGGAGACAGGGTGAGAGGATTGCCTGAGTCCATGGGTTTAAAATCAGCTTGGACAACTTGGAGAGACCTCATCTCTACAATAAATCAAGAGAAAATTAGCTGGGTGTGGTGGCGCATGTCTGTAGTTCCAGCTACTTGGAAGGCTAAGACAGAAGGATCACCTGGGTCCAGTCCAACAAATCGAGGCTGTGGTGGTCATGAGTGTGCCACTGCACTCCATCCTGGGTGACAGAATGAGACTCCAACTCCAACTCAAAAAAATTTTTTTTTTCTTCTTAGAAAAAAACATGAAAAACATACATTCAATCAAGTCAGTTTACAGGAAATGGGGGATAGAGGCAGGTTATCACAAACAGAGGTAGGGTGAAATAAACAGAGTGGTGGTGAAAGAATGTGAGACATTTTAGGACTAGGTCCTTTGGGACCTTGTTTCTCCAACAAATCAACAGCATAGAAGGAACACAGAAAAAGGAGGATTGTTATAAAGTTTAAAATATGCAAGGGATCAAAATATGGAATAAAAAACAATAGTATGTAAATTTTGATTGGTCAAACGAACTGTAAAAATAGAATTTTAGATAACCAATGAAATATAGTAGAGACTAGCTAGGTTTTAGATGACATTAAATTTTTTTGCTAGATATGCCATTATGTTTTCTTTAAAAATGTTGTCAGATAAAGATTCATATTGAGCTGTTTGCAGGTGAAATGAAATACTTTATATTTGCTTTAGCAAAAAAAAAAGCTGTTAAGGTAATATAATCCAGTGTTTTAAATAAATTATTAGTTATAAGGTTGGCGATGGAGAAGAGATCAGGATAACATTGGGATTTCACCTTTGATTTCAAGTGTGGCACCATTTGACAAGATGTGGGATACAGAAGTAGCAGCAGGCCCCAGGGCTTAAAATGAGCTTAATTTTGAACATAAGTTTTAGGGTCCAAATGAGTTTGGAGACCATATAGCTTGAGTAGCAGCCATCCACAACTTTGTGAAATTTTCTAAAATTTCTTTCAGTGATACCTGGGGTTCCAGCTACAGGTGCAGTGAAGAAGGGATCTAGATCAATCTACCTTTGAATGCTAGCAGGACAGATACAACACAAGAAAAGAAAGACGTGGGCAGTGGGGGTCACAGCAAGAGAGACGTTAAGTAAGAGGCAAGGCATCCAGGCTGGATGGGCATTAGTAGAATAAAACATGTTACCTTGAGTGCTATTCAGAAGAGAGCAGAAGAATCCATCTGTGAACAGAATGAGTGGACAGTGAATTCTAGGTGAGGAAATGAGGGTTTCAGGGGCAGGGAGGACACCGATAGTGCAAAGAATGGTGGGTGAGAAGGAATTCGAGAATAGGACAGAGATGAGGAACATGAGAGTGAGCTGGGCAGGACCAGCACTTTGGCTGACGACCAAGGAAACGTGGGAGGAAAACGTGTTAAACGAGCTTCTCTTAAGGCTCCTAGGCAGCCCAAGTCCCAAGCTGTGTGAAACCCTCTTGAGGCTGGCAATTTTTAGGCTCCACTAATCATTTAAAAGGAATGTCACTGAATGTACTTATCTCGTCTCTGAAGACTCCTGTTTTCTCAGGCTGTTAAAGGAAAAACGCATTTATGTTCAGTCCCTTATTTTAAAATGTATTTATCTTTTTATTCGGAATCAGTATTAGTACATTCCTATAACACATATATTAGTATTTTAGACACATGTGGAACATAAAGTGAAAATTATTCATCCTTGCCTAAGAGGGTGTAAAAATTGCATACAACTTACCTCATATCTGTGGGCCTTGGAAGAAGTTTTCTTTTTCCACTAAAGTAGATTTCAAAATCTTCCGTCTTTAACCTGTGGGCATAGTCAATGTATCCTGAGATCTCCTGGCCATGAGAATTTCTGTCACGAATGAAGATCACAGACTGGGAGCACAGAAGAACAGAGAATGGAGACAGTAGATGAGAAAATTGCACAGGGTAATAAAAGCTACAGTTATTGAGGGTTGCATATGCCAGGCCCTATTCCAAGTGCTTTATGTTTCATCCTCATAATGGTTCTATCAGGTAGATACTATTATTTTCTCCTGACAGATGAAAAAACAGAAAAAGTTAACTACGTATGCATGTAATGCACACTTACAGTTATTTTGTATAACAATATTGACAAACAACTCTATTATAGAGTTCTTCCTAAGTGTAGACATTATTCTAGGTGTTTGAAATATATACATTTATTTACTTTCCCTCCAGTCCTAGTGTTCTTTTTGGTCAAAATAACTAAGGAACAAAGAGGTTGAGTATATCTCACTCAAGGTCTCAGGCTAGTAAATGGCAAAACTGAAATTCAAACCCAGACTTGTGAATATGTCCCTTGAGTCACATTCTTTCCCCATTTGAAATCCTATGCAATTTTTGTTAAGAGCTAAAAAGAGATCACTTCATATCATCACCAAGAGAGTAAAAAACTCCTCTTACAAAATTAACTCCATGGTCAAAATGATTGATCAAGTCATATTCTTTAACACTGAAGTCCCAGCCTTTTTGGCATCGGGGATCAGTTCTGTAGAAGACAATTTTTCCACAGACTGGGGATAGGGTGATGGATTTGAGGTGATTCAAGTGCATAACATTTATTGTAAACTTTGTTTCTATTATTATTACAATGAAATAGATAATGAAATAAGTATACAACTCTCCATTAAAAAAAAAGAGGCATAGACGGAAGTGGTAAATAAAATAATGGGTGAGGGCATGTGTGGACTAAAATAAGTGTGGGATTCTGACTTAAAACCTGCTACCAGATGCAGCATCAACTCACTTGCCACTCACTGAAAGGGTTCTGAAATGAGTTTGCAAGTAATTGATTTATTATGGTATCTGTGCAGTCAAACCTCACTGCTAATGTTAATCTGTATTAGCACTGCTCTAGTATCACCATCTCAACTCCACCTCAGATCATCAGACATTAGATTCTCATATGAAGGGCACAACCTAGATCCCTCACATGCACAATTCACAATTGGGCTTGTGTTCTTGTGAGAATCTAATGCTACTGCTGATTTGACAGAAGGTGGAGCTCAAGCAGTAATGCGAGTGATGGGAAGTAGTTGTAAATACAGATAAAACTTCACTTGCTTGCCACTGCTCACTTTCTGTTGTGTGGCCCGGTTGCTAACAGGCCATGGGCTGTTACCAGTTGGTAGCCCAGGGACTGGGGATTCCTGTTTGAACATATTTCTCATTTACATTAATTCCTTTACAAATATCACTGAGCACTTACTATAAGTTAGGGACTTTGGAGGTACCAAGAGATAGTAGTAAACAAAGCTGTCAAAGTCCTGGACTCTCAGAACCTACATTCTGGTGAGGGGAAAACAGGCAATAGACATGAAAACAAGAAACTTTCAGTGTGATAAATTCCATAAAGCAAACAAAGACGAAGGAGTGGAGAAGGAGGTGAAAGTGATGGTGTCAACTCTAAGTAATCAGAAAAGAAATAAGGAAGTGATATTTAAATCATGACTTAAGGGATGGGAAGAAGCAGGCCTGGTAAGGTTGGAAATAGAAGCCTATCAGGCAAAGGGAACCACTTGCACGAAGGCTTTAAAGTGGAAACAAGGAAATACAAATGGCAGAGATGGGTCTTCCCCCTTCAAGCCAACAGACATTGCTCTCAAGTTCTAAGCCAAAAAGAAAAGAAAAAAAACTCTGCTGTTAAATGTATTTGTTTGCTAATCTAGATCAAAGTGTAGAATATCATAGCAAAGTTCTATATTTGGAAGAACCCATAAACAAGATTTCCTTTTCTCATCAGCAATCACTGGATTATTACTTGTTAAATGCAGTTATAGGAAGAACTAATATTGTTGACTTTAGATAGCAGGGCTTCCAAGAGAGTGTAGTTAGAAAATTGAAAGGATTCATTATACCCACTGCATCTAAGAAGACATGTTGCTAGTAATATCTTTTAGAAATTTTTAAAATTTATTATTATTATTTTAGAGATAAGGTATTTGCTTTGCTGCTCAGGTTGGAGTGCAGTGGCACATCATAACACACTGTAACCTTGAACTCCTGGACTCCAGAAATCCTCTGGCCTCAGTCTCCCAAGTAGCTAGGATTACAGTCACGAACCACTATTACGGGCTAAACTTTTTAAAAAAATCTTGTAGGGATGGGGGTTTTGCTATGTTGCCCAGGCTAGTCTCAAACTTCTGGTCTCAAGAGATTCTCTTTCTTGGCTTCTCAAAGTATTGTAATTAGAGCTAGGAGCTACTCCTTCTGAACTTGCTAACGATATCATCATTGAAAAATGAAAGGACAGAGACACAATTTAGTTAGTTGTTTTCTGCTGATAGTTTCATTTTGGCTGCCAACTCTGGTTGTTTAGCATTGGGTGCTGGGAATACAGTGCTGAGGATTCTCAGGCAGGTTCTTGGTTCGGGGGAGAAAGAGTTGGGATGAATTGATGATATATCCCATAGACATGGCAAGAAGAAATAGTATTCATTGTCATTTCTCTGTGTAATCTTATGTAATCTTAATCCTTCTCACTTCACTCTCATAACTCCCTGGTAAACCAATATCAATTTCTCCATGCCTTTAGCCACTAATGTTTTAGTTTCTGCGGCACAAATCTAAACACATAGTAACTCAGAGACTTCTTGAAATGCTCACACTACAAACCAATAGCTAGCGATGCTGTACCTACTTAAACAACGACATGAACTAGAGCTACCAATATTTCATATGCATTCCAAATGTGCTAAACAGCTTTTCACCATCAAGGCTGCTCTTGATGTTAGACAAGTCATCCTGGGACAAAGAGAGATGAAAAAAATGTCCAGAATAAACCCACAAGACCTTTACTTTCAAAATGGAATTCTATTAAATTGAGAAACTCTTCTGTCTCTCCCCTCCCTGCCACCCCTGTCTCCCTCCCTCTCTTTTACTCTTTATATGAGAGATGAACCAGCCTTAATTTTTCCAGCAAAAATTACTAGAGATTGTGACTGACTTTCCTGCTAAAAACAAATAAAAATTCTGGATAAAATCTAAGAAATAACTTGTTAAAGGCAGTGATGCTCTGGTAAGAAAAAGGAATACTCAAGAGTCCAAAAGCTAAGTGAAAGCAGGAACCCAGAGAGAAGCAGAGTCTTGGAAGAATCTTTGTCCTGCAAGCATTTGCCCAACCTCAGGGAATTGGAGCAAGGATGTCATGACCTTTGGGGTGAGAGTGCAGGAAACAAATTCCAACCTTTTGGATACAGAGACCAACAGTATTTACTGCCTTAATATAAATTTGAGAAATCAAAAATGAATGAAATAATATCTTCAATCGTTCCAGAAAAAAAGAATTATCCCAGAATTTTATATACAGACAATTCTATCTAGTGAGCAAAATATAGACATCTCAGATAAAGCAAAAACAAAAACAAAACAAAACACATATAAATAAAGAACTTGACTAATGGTAGACTCTTGCTCAAAAAAATTATGCTGGTTGTATTTCAGGCCAAAGGAAGTGATTCTAGATGGAATGTCAAAGATAAAAATATAGAATTATAGTTAAAAAAAGGTAGTAAATATAGAAATAAATATTGACATATAGAACAATAATGACAATGGCATCTCAAATAAAAAATAATAATATGTTTAACATGTTTGAAATAAACATGCATGTTTGGAGGATCTCACTCTGTTGCCCAGGCTGGAGAGTGGTGGAACTGAGCCGGCGGTAGCTCATGCCTGTAATTCTAACACTCCACATTAATTTTTGTATTTTTTGTACATAAGTCTTTCTATGTGGTCCAGTCTGGTCTGGACTCCCGGGCTTAAGCAACTTTCCTGCCTCAGCCTCATAAAATGCTGGGATTACAAGCATGAGCTTCTGCTCACTCAGAGCCACTGCATTTCAGCTTAGATGACAGAATGAGACCTAGTCCAAAAAAAAGAAAAAGAAAAAGAAAAGAATCCCACTGTCTCATTTATCTTTTATTTTGTGGATTTTCTAAGAATTAGAATGAAGTTAAACTAATATTCTCAATTACTTAATTATATATATTTAAATATATATTTTAAAGACACATTTCAAAATGTATATTTTTCTCCAAACCTAATGGTAATTATTCCTACCATAAATAATACTTGCTATCATTTCATGTCAAGTACATTTTTAAGTATGCTTATGAAGTGAGCACATTTTTCACTGTACATTGGAATAGAACTCAAAAGACACACGTCCCTTCATTATCTAAACCATTCACCCCTTCTTGAAATAGTATAGGAATTGAAGTTTTCCCAAACACAACTTAAGTGAAGGAGAGGAAAACTACTAAAAAAGTAAAAGTAAATTTTACCTTTCAAATTTAGAGTGGCTTTTAAAATTGACATTCACTATTCCTATAAAATGAGGATATTCAGTTTTATTGACAGTTTAAAACTCGCAGAACAATGACATTTCCTTTCTTTTTTCTTTCTTTCTTTCTTTTTTTTTGAGTCAGATTCTCACTTTGTCACCTAACTGGAGTGCAGTGGCATGCTCACAGTCACCCCAGCATCGATATGCTGGGCTCAGGCAATCCTCCTCCCATCTCAGTCTTCCAAGTAGCTGGAACAGCAGGCGTGCGCCACCATGCCCAGCTAATTTTGGGGTTTATTGTAAAGATGAGGTCTCGCCAAGTTGCCCAGGCTGGTCTCAAACCTGTGGGGGGCTCAGACAATCCTCTCACTTCGGCCTCCCAAAGTGCTGGAATTATAGACATGAGCCACCCCGCCCAGCCTGCTATCATTTCTTAAGAAGCCACTGTGGTCTGAGGAAAGTTTTAGAAGCTTTACATTCAATATCTTTATTTAATCCTCTTAAAAATGCTATTATGACTGGATAGCATTATTGTCCTCATTTTGTAAATACATGGACTGAA